GAGCACTCACCGATCCTCCTGCCTCAGCCTCCCGAGTGCTGGGATTACAGAGGCATGCGCCACCACGCCCAGCCAAGGTACATTTTAAAAAGCCACAGTTAGCAGGGCAGAGTAGAATAAATCCATATGATTTAATTTTTTTCCTTCTTGCACTAGATGTTCTAAGTGCTTACAATATGCCAAGTATGTTCTAAGGGTTCAAAAAAGAGCTGTGGACATTCAGAAACTGTATTATTCCTCATAGAGCACACTTTTCATAATGAGCAAAAGGAAAAATGATCAGAGATGTGTAGCCTGCACAAAATTATCCGAGGGAAGCAAGAGAATGGTCCTCACACATGAGCAGGTCTTATACCACATGTGTATTTATTATTCTCAGTTGTTCTACAGACAGAATCAAGACAAATGTGTGGCATTACAATGAGGTCAGTTTCAAGTCAATACAATGACACATTATTCATGAAATGGTTTACCTGCAAATATATCAGGCACGTTCAGGGTGGTATGGCCGTAGCTTAGTGGTGTTGCTGCCTGACTCACAAGTGCAAGGTCCTGAGTTCATCCTGTTACCTGCAAATAGCAACGGCTAAGGTGGCAGGAAATTGCTGGTCACTAATAAATTTTCAACGGGTCTTATTAAAAAACCAAAACCACATAAGGCCTCTTCAAAAGATGTAAAAGGTTTATCTCAATGTCTCTCTCACTTTTATTTAAAATAAAAATTAGCTCGTAACAGGCCTCACTTCATCCTAATTTCCTTTGACAGCCATTCCAGGGTAAATGAGACCACTATCTAACCCACTGGTTCTCCTGGCTGCACATGGGAACTGCTAGGTGTTTGTCCCACACCAAGACCTTGGACGGGCTGGGATTTCACAAGATCCCCACATGACTCAAATGCACAGGTAATTTTGAGAATCACCAATCTAAGCCACTACTTTATCTATTAATCTTCATTTTCTATAGCTTCTTGAGAGTAATGAGATCCAGTCACTGGTTACACAAGGGTCCTTTTATGCAACTGGCCAGTGCAGATTTCTGTGGAGTACCAACAGTCATCCAAGGACAGAGGCACTAGGGTAAGTTGTTTGCTCCTGGGGAACTGTTGGCATGTTGATAATTATCTTGGTGTTAGAAATCTGGATAGCCCTCTGTCATTTTAATAAATCATTACTGAATACTATGTGCTTGGCTCTGCACCAGAATCTAAGGATAATGTGAAACTTGGGCCGGGGATTTAGCTTAGTGGTTTTGCCATCTGCCTCATAAGCACAAGGTCCCAAGTTCAGTACCCAGTACTAAAAAAAAAATCAAAACAGATAGCTTACAACAAGGACCAATGGTCCCCACCCTAGAAGGCTTTCTTTAGATATCAGGAATACAAGACAGGGACAAATCTAGGACCCAGCACAGCAAACATCATTCCACACCACGAACTTTAAATTTGCAAACAGGAGATTTTATCTGCAGAGGTAAAATCTGGGAGACAAACACATGGTAATTTATATGAAAATATGAATGTTACAATAAGGCCTGTATTTTCTACCACAAAATTTAATTTATAACCACTCTGTTTTTCCTCTGAGTCAGTGAGAAGACAAAGCTAGAGGAGAAAAGAGGACCACCTTGGACAAAAACTATATGATCATCTCAATAGATGCAGAATAAGCATTTGACAAAATTCAACACCCATTCATGATAAAAAACTGGAATAGATGGTCTTTATTTCAACTTGATAAAGGCTATGAAAAACCAACAGCCAACATCAAAAACTGAAAACCTTCACGCTAAAATCAGGAAGGAAACAAGGATGCCCATTTTACCACTTCTGTTCAATATAGTTCTAGAACCATTAGCCAAAGCAATGAGACAAGAGAAAGAAATAAAAACAATAAAGATAGGAAAGGAAGAAGTTAAACTGTCACTATTTGCTGATGATACGATACTCTACATAGAAGACCCAAAAAATTCTGCCAAAAGACTTCTAGATTTAATTGACAGATTCAGCACAATAGCTGGATACAAGGTCAACAATCAAAAATCAATGGCCTTCTTGTACACAAATAACAAACTGAGAAGAGAAATTAGGGAAACAATTCCTCTCACAATAGCATCCCAAAAAATGAAATATCTAGGAATCAATCTAATGAAGGTAGCAAAAGACCTCTATACAGAAAATTAAAGTACTGTGAAAAAAGGAGATGAAAGAGGATGTCAGAAATGGAAAGACATCCCTTGCTCCTGGTTAGGAAGAACGAACATAGTGAAAATGGCCATACTTCCAAAACTGCTATACAGATTCAACACAATCCCAATGGAAATTCCAACAGTATACTTCACCAAACTAGAGAAAACAATCCAAAAATTCATTTGGAACCAGAAAAGACCTAGAATAGCAAAAGCCATTCTAGGCAACAGAGACATGACAGGGGGTATCACAATCCCCAACTTGAAACTATACTACAAAGCCACTGTGATAAAAACAGTATGGTACTGGCAAAGAAACAGACCAGAGGATCAGTGAAATAGACTGGAAGATACAAAAACAACTCCAGAGGTACTCAGCTACCTCATCTTTGACATAGGAGCCAACAACCCTCAATGGAGGAAAGATAGACTCTGTAATAAACTGTGTTGGAAAAACTAGGTTTTAACCTACCAAAGATTAAAACTAGACCCTTATCTTTCACCTTGCACTAAACTAAAATCCAAGTGGATTAAAGATCTAAATATTAATACAGAAACACTAAATTTGCTGAAAGATAAGTTAGGCAGAACTCCCAAAGACACTTGCATAAGAAAAGACTTTATGAACAAATCCTCAGTAGCATGGGAACTAGCACAAAGAATCAACAACTGGGATCTCATCTTATTAAAAAGCTTCTGCAGTGCAGGAGAAAACACCAACAGAGGTAAAAGAAAATGTACAATGTGGGAAAAAATTTTTACCAGCTTTTCCTCAGACAAATGTCTACTATCTAGAATATATAAAGAAATCAAAAAAAAATCAGATGCCCCAAATATAAAGACCCGATTCAAAAATGGGCATCCGAAATGAACAGACACTGCTCAAACAAGTAAAAGCAGCAAATAAATAAATGAAAAAATGTTCAATATCACTGGTCATTCAAGTGATGCAGATGAAAACAATGTTGAGGACTAGAGATTTAGCTCAGTGGTACCACCACCTGCCTTGCAAACTGCAAGGTCCCACATTCAATCCCTGTTACCACACACACACACACACACACACACACACACACACACACACACACACACACGCTGAGATTCCACCTCACCCCAGAAAGAATGTTTACAGATTCCCAGGACATCTTCAGGCCATTGTTTTGCCTATTATAAAGGCAGAGATGCTTAAAGGATGCTTCAACTACCAGAAAGAAGGCTCTGAAAGTCATCACCTGAGGCACAAGTGGTTACACAGCTGTCTCAAATCAAATAACTTAATATACAGACCTCAAAACTGTCTGCATTCTGAGCCCTGACAACTACTCGACCTGTCCCAGACACTCCAGGGCTTTCTTAAATATGTCTTCTATGAAGCCTTTCCATCATCCCCCCAGTAATTATGGAGCATTTCCCCCATGCCTCAACACTCAGTTTATACTACTACTATTTATTTGTATCTTATGGAATAATGAAAACTGGAACAACCTCATTCTACATCCTTAAAAGAGGTTAGCACAATGCCCTACACTTTACATCCATTCACTCTGGCATCTGTCAGTGCTCCACCAACACCTACCTTACCTTGTCTGCTCCTCACCATCTCTGTCTCACAGACCTAGAGCCTGAGGGCTAGGGCTGGGCTGGGAGGCCTAGCCAAGACTTATTCAGACATCTGGAGGATATGCTTCCTAATAAAAGAGAACAAAGATCTCTCCAAATTCTAAGTTTACCACTATCTGGCATCTGTAAAAGGCAAGGAGTGAACAGTAAAAAATACTCAGCATCCATAAATAAAGTTAAAACTGTGGAGCCAGCAGAAATGGCCAAGATATATTTAATAACACAAAAAGCAAGAACCATGCACCTAACAAAACAGCAAAGACACAGGATTTGTGAGATTCATATAAATTTTACAACAAAACAAAAAACTATTGAATTCTAGTTAGTAATACACATGTATTCTTCAGCTGCGAATGTAGTTCAGTCGGACAGTGTTTGTCTAGCATGTTTGACACCCAGCACTGCAAAACAGAAAAGAAAGGTATATTCTCAAGATTTTGGGAACAGTATAACAAGGTCTGCATTTTACATTGAAATGTAAATAATACAGTAGTAGGGTCTAGACTGGGGTTTATAAGTATTCACTGTAAAATTCCTTCAAAATAGCTGTATGTTCAATTTTCATAATGAAATGTTGGAAAGAAAACATGAAGACCAAGCAGCAGAGAAGTACTGTACAGAAAGAAGCAAAAATGATGCTCTTGGGTGTTCATTCCAAGACAGAGATACATACACAGTGAAAAAGCAGCCAATAACACACACACACACACATTGACACACAGCTGGAAGCCTCAAGAGCCCTGGCTCTTGTGAGACATGCTAGGAAGTGCACTGCAGGTCAAAGAGCATTCTAGAAAGAACAGAATGGTGACAGTATGAAAATTTTTTCCCTTAAAACAATGCTTTAAAAACCTAAAATGTAGGCCGGGGATTTAGCTCAGTGGTTCTGCCACCTGCTTCACAAGCATAAGGTCCCAAGTTTGAACCCCAGCAACAAAAAAAACCCTAAAATGTTACTTAAATTATACATCATTATAATGCTTTGGTGCTTGAATTACTAAATGAAAATCAAAGAAATCAAGATGGGTATTGTGGTGCACACCTTCAATTTGAGCACGCTGGGAGGCTGAGCCAGGAGGATCACAAGTTCCATCCCAGTCTAGGCAATTTGGTGACTTAGTGGGACCCTGTCCTCAATATGAAAAATAAAAAGGGGTCGGGATTTAGCTCACTGCCTCACAAGCACAAGCACCTGAGTTGATCCCCAGTACCAAAAAATAAAAATAAAAAAGGCTGGGGGAGCTCAGTTTGAAGGCCAATAGATTCAATCCCCAATTCTACCAAAAAAAGAAATCTATCATTTCTATTTCTCCTAACACACTGTTTTTCTAGTCAAACTGTAAAAAAAAGAAAAGAGCCACTTCCATAACAATTTTACAACGCATGAAGATATAAGGTGCATTGAAGTTCTTTAAAAAATTGTTAAACTTTCTTGATAATTTAAAACAAAACTTCATTCTTATTTATTTATCCTTTATTCTTATTTCAGATCTTCTAGAAAGGCTTTTAAGTGCTTTCATAAAATTCACACATATTAGGCTGGGGATGTAGCTCAGTGGCACAGCGCTGCCTGGCAAGCACAAGGTCCTGAGTTCTATCCCCAGAACAACCAAAAAAAAAAAAAAAAAAAAAAAAAAAAAATTCACACACATTTGCTAAGCATGGTGGTATACAACTATAAGGTCAACTTCCAGGAGGGCTGAGGCAAAAGGATCAATTGGGTTCAAGGCCAGACTGAACTACATTCAGAGACCCTGGGTCAAAAAAGCAAAAACTAGCCAGGTGTGGTGGCACACACCTATAATCCCAGTACTCAGAAGGCTGAGGCAGGAGAATTGCCATGAATTCAAGGCAGGCCTGGGCTACATAGTGAGTTCAAAGCCAGCAGAACTGTTTCAAAAAAAAAACAAAAACCAAAAAACTAAATACAGTCAAGTTCACACAAATTTCTAGGTAAAATTAGTATTTGTTACTTTCTTCCTATTGTGAATAAACAATTGTTTTTATAAAGGTATGTGCTAACTTGTCCTTGAGGACAGTAAAGCAATCCATTAACATCCATTTTCTTATTCAGTTACTTCACTTAAAAACTTGATAGTTGTTAAATTTCTCATACATGTTGGTGGCTTAATTATCTTAATAAAGATAGTTTTATAATCTCTTTTCCAGAAGGTCTCACATCTAAATATTGTCCTAAGCAGAACTTTGAGGCAATGATTACATACAGTACTAACAAGAAGACATCCTGCTTTAATTTTTGAGTTGCATTGTGACTCCCTGCCCTTGTAACTGGCAAATGAAAAGCTTAAGAAATAGGCACTAAGAGAAAGAACAAAAGAACAAATGAAGGATGTTTTTTGAAGAGGCAGGAATAAGAGCCACCTCACTGTTCAGGAGGCTCTGCAAAATGGAGCAACAATTGTGAAACAGAAGAGGAGCAGTTCTGTCATAAAAATAGCTCAGTGTTAAGGTGGTTTAAAGTGGTCAGGAAGGGCCAGGGATTTAGCTCAGTGGTTCTGCCACCTGCCTCACAAGTGCAAGAACCCGAGTTCGATCCCCCGTACCAAAAAATAAATAAATAAATGTTTAAAAATAAAATAAAGTGGTTAGGAAGTGGTATAGTTCTCAGGTTACCAGCTGCAGTGAACATCTGTAATACTTACTGTTGGTATTGTGTGATATATCCCCTCCCTCCTTCTCTCTTTCTCTTCCCTTTCTGCTATTAATGTATAGCTAGATTTGAGATTCTTCACCTCCATACACTTTCAGTGGGATCCATGCATGCATTACTGATATTTTTATCTTTTTTTTTTTTTTTTTTTTTTTTTTTTTTTTTTGTACTGGGGATCGAACTCGGGAATTAACTTTATCTTTGAAACACTAGATGTTAGATGAGATAGTAATCGTTGAGATTAGTTTAACGAATCTAGTGTCAAAACATAAAAAGCTGACAAGCTGTCCCTAAAAATAATTCAGTTAATCAATTTTTTTTTTGGTACCAGGTATGGAACTCGGGTCCTTGAACTTGTGAGGCAGGCGCCAGAACCACTGAGCCAAATCCCCGGCCCTATTTGATTTATTTTATAAAAAGCTTACGACGAGGGCTGGGGATTTAGCTCAGTGGCACAGCGTCTGCCTGGCAAGCAGGAGGTCCTGAGTTGGATCCCCAGGTAAAAAAAAAAAAAAAAGATGAGGAAACTAGAAACTACAGGCACAGACTTCCTTAACTGAAAGTACTGACGAGAAAAGCAATTTCTTTGAGTGGGGAGGGTGGTACCGGGGGTCAAATTTAAGACCTTGTGCTTTTGAGGCCAGCGTGGTGCCCGCCCCCAGCCCAGAAGGGCAATTTTGAGGAGACTCGTGTAAATACAAAAAAAAAAGAGGAAAAAGGCCTTTAAAATACTTTTTAAAGATTAGGGCAAGAAATAAAAACTTATCCTTTCCATTTCTGCCATCAAACTTATTAAAGTAGAACTACTGGGCCCGGGATTTAGCTAAGTGGCACAGCCCCTGCCTTGCAAGCTTAAGGTCCTGAGTTAAACCCCTGGTACCAAAAGAAATGGAACTATTAACTGAATGTTGTACATAACTACAAACATAATTTACTGATGTATTTTCTTTTACTTTTTTTGTTTGGCATGCTGGAATTAAATCTAAAATCTTTGCACTGAGCTACATCTCCAGCGCTTATTTTGAGATGAGGTCTAAGTCGTTAAATTGCCAGATTGCTCTCTAATTTGCGATTCTCCTGCCTCAGCCTGCCACAGCGCTGGAATTCCAGCCGTGCTCCACCATGCTAGGCCAACAGTGTGCATTTTTTTTAAATCACGTTGGGGGCCGGTGATTTAGCTCAGTGGTGCTGCCGCCTGTCTCAGAAACCCAAGGTCCTGAGTTCGATACCCGGTACCAAAAAATGAAAAAAAGAAAAATAGTCCCACTGCTAACAAAGAGATCATCCTTTCAGCTGACGCCAGGGAGGCCTTGCAGAAACTTCAAGATCAGCTCGCGGAGGTACTTGAGCCCGAAAGGGAGGCGGCACCTCACCACTCGCTCAGTCCGCACCGGCGGCCCCGGGAGAGCTCGCGGACAGCCGCTGAGACCCGAAAAGTGCCCGCGGACAGCAAGCCCACACCGGCGCGTACCTGCAGCAGGCTCCAAGGGATCCGGCGGACGGCCCGGAACGGAGGCAGCAGCCGCGGCAAGGCCGGCTAGAAACAGGATGCAGCCGAGG